AAAAAAAAAAAAAATATATATATATATATATTGTCTGCATGCGTGCGTGCACCCCGTGTGTGTGCCTGGTGTCTTCAGAGAGCAGAGCGGGCATTGGCCCCTTTGGGGCTGAAGTCTGCGACGGTCTAAGGCACTAACCTAACCCATGTCCTCTGCAAGAGTATCAACTGCTCTTAACCACCGAGCAGTCTTTCCAGTCTCGTCTTTTTTTTTTCTAACAGCCCTGGCTGTCCTGGAACTCGCCCTGTAGGCCAGGCTGGCCTCTAACTCACAGAGATCCACTCTGCTTCTCCCTCCCAAGTGCTGGACCAATTCGTACCTTTAAGAAGAGCTAAACTGGATTATGTGTAGGTTATGTGTAGGGAGTGTAGGTTCCCCTGGATCCACTGGATCTGTAACTAAAGGCTGTCTGACATGGGGGGCTGAGAATTACGCAGTATGTGTCCTCAATCACTGGCCATCTCTCCAGCCCCAAATATAATATTCAAGTTTTGGTTTGGGGGCTAGAGAGCTGTTATCAGTCGTTGGGTGTAGTTGCTGCAGCTGGGCAGTGGTGGCTCCTGCTTTTAAGCACTTAAGAGAGAGAGCTAGGTGGGTCTCTGAGTTCAAGGCCAGCCTGGTCTACTGAGTTTCAGGACAGCCAGGACTACATAGAGAAATGCTGTCTCACCCACCTCCAACAAACAAACAAACAAACAAACAAACCAACCAACCAACCAACCAACCAACCAACCACTTGCTGTTCTTCTAGAGGACCTGATTTAGTTCCCAGAGCCTATCTGGTGGCTCAAAACTACCTGCAACTCCAGCTCCAGGGTAACAGTACACAAGTACTGCATAGACAGACATAAATGCAGGCAAAATACACATAAACAAAAAAATTTAAAAAAAATAAAATAAAAAAATTATGTCTGCGCGTATACCTGTGGGTATGGGCATCTAAGGAGGCCAGAAGAGGGTGCAAGACAGTTGTAATTGGCCATGTGGGTGCTGGGAATCAAACCAGGATCCTCTGGAAGAGCACCCAGTGCTGTTAGCCCCTAACCTGTCTCTCCGCTCACCCCTTTTTAAAAATAATTTATTTAATTCTATTTTATGTGCATTGGTGTGAAGGTATCAGATCCCTTGGAATCAGAGTTAGACAGTTGTGAGCCGCCATGTGGGTGCTAGGAATTGAACCCAGGGCCTTTGGAAGAGCAGAGGCTGCTCGTAACAGCTGAGCCATCTCTCCAGCCCCACCCATCCCTTTTAACATTCATTGTTTCCTACTGTGAGGATCCTGGGGTCAGGCTTGGCAGCAATGGGCTTTACCTCCTGAACCATCTTGCCAGTTCCTATACTATCTTTATGATAAAACATACAAACTCTGCATTTAAAAACTATCGGCCAGCTGGGCAGTGGTGGCGCACACCTTTAATCCCAGCACTCAGGAGGCAGAGGCTGACAGATCTGTGTGAGTTTGAGGCCAGCCTGGTTTACAAAGTGAGCCAGGACAGCCAAGGCTACACAGAGAAACCCGGTCTCAAAACCAACAAATATTGGCCAGATGTGGCAGCACATGTCTTTATCCCAGAGGTTAGGAAGCAGAGCAGGCAGATCTCTGAGCTCAAGGCAAATCTGGTCCAAATGGAGACCCAGATCAACCAAAGCTCCGCAGTGGGACCTGGTCTTCAAAAAGTGTACTTTAAAATTGTGTTAAGACACAGATACCATTTGCTATATTAACCGCATTTGAATGTAGAGGAGAGGTTTGCTGGGTTTCCTTTTTCAAAGACAGGACTGCCTGTCTCTGCACATGGAATGCCGGGATTACAGACGTGTGCACACACAGCTCTGGTCAAGTACACACTGCCTTGCAACCACGAGCCAGCAATAGAGGCTGTTCTTTTTGTCTTAGAAACCTGAAACCTCTATGCTCATTTCTGAACACTCTACGCACGGCACATACAACACTGATTTTTTTTGCGACTGGCTTATTTCACTTAGCAGTGTCTGTTCCTCTGTTTGTATCAGAATCCTCTTCTCACAGCTGCTTACATCCCTTTGTGTACCGGCATCCTGTTTTGTTTATTTTCACTCCCTGGTATTCAGGTTGCTTGGATCTTTGGCTGATGAACATAGGCTACAAAGAAGTCCTGGGAGAGCCAGCCTTAAGTTCCTGCAGGTATGTGTCCAGAAGTGGAATTACTGGCTCACAGGGCTAATTTAAAATTCCCTATTTTTCTCAGTGTCAGGTGCATAGGCTTAATCTGCCTCTGACTAATCCAGAACTGCACACACCCGTAAGACCCAAAGGCCAGGCATTTTCTCTGCTGTGCTGATAGTCACAGACCTTTACAGGCAATTTCATAAAACGAGAGTCAACTTATTTCTAAACTTTCACGTTCCCAACAACAGTACGTAAGGGTCCCAAATTTTCTATACTTGACATTTATTTTAATAGCAGTGTTCCTGCTGGGTGTGAGGCAGTTTCTTGGTGATTCTGTTTTAAATATATTTTCTTAGAGCTTTTGGTTCACATCAAAATTGAGACAATACAGCAATTTCTTATATACAAAACCCCCAGCCCTTACAGGAAACAGCTTGGACAGCTTCAGCAGAAGGCACAGGCGGACACATGGACTCCTTGCTCACTTTAGGGCTCACTCAGTTCACATTTTACCAATTTGAATAATGGCTTGTGACCTGTATTTGCCACCAACAGTACCATACAGAGTGGTACTCTGACCCTGAAAAAATGTTCTCTAACCATGCTACCGTGTGAACTGTTTAGGATTTGATGTTGTGTGTAAGACTTCTGCCTGTGTGTATGTTCTGTGTCCATGCCTACTGTCTGCAGAGGCCAAAGAGGTTATCAGATCCCCTGGAACCGGAGTTAGGAGGTTCTGCGCCACCATGTGGGTGATGGAACCAGACTCGAGTCCCCAGCAACAGCAGCGAGTGCTCTTACCTGCTGAGCCATTACTGCTGTCTGCCACCTCAAATTTTTGAACTGTAGTGCAGGAGCCTACAAAGCCCAGGAACTCAGCGCTCTACCACTGAGGCACGCTGCCAGGCTCCAACTGTCTCTAACTTCACTTTTTTTTTTGAAAACAAGGTTGTTCTGTGTAGCCCTGGCTATCGTAAAACTCTTTGTAGACCAGGCTGACCTCCAACTCAAGAGATCCACCTGCCTCAGCCTTCCAAGTGCTAGGACAAAGGTGGACATTTCCTTTTTGAGAAAACCAGTATCATACAGTTAAACTCAAGAGAAACCCTTTCAGATTGGCCCTTCCTCAACATCTTCTGTGACTCATGTCTTTTTGGTACTGGACACTCCATTGTTGGGTGTCCCATTCACCCTTTTCTGTACTGAAGGATACCTTCCTTGCTTCCAAGTTTTGGCAATTTTAAGGAAGGCTGTTAGAAAAACAAACTCATTTGCTGGTTTTTGTATGAGCATATTTCTAATCCCCCGGGGACTATGAATGGGCAAGATTGCTAAAAGACGCTGTATGTCCAATCTGGTTACATACCGCTCAGCTGTCTTCCCAAGTGCCCGCGCCATCTTCTGTCCCCATGAGTGACGCCCATCTCTGCGGCTCCACACCCTGCCATTTGTGTTGGCTCCTCTAGGCACAGCAGTGTGCCCGACGCAGTTTGCACCCCTCCTGCCACGCTGTAGGGGACACCTCAGCCACACATCTGCCATGTCTGTATCTTTTCTTTCTTTGAGACAGGGTCTCATTATGTACCCCTGGGACTTTTGGTGGACACCAGGCTGTCTCTGCCTCCAAAACCACACAAGGCTTTGTTATCTTTTAAGCAAGTCATTTGCCTTCCGTTTTACATTTTCTGTTACTTGTGTTCATTTACTGTGTGTGCACCCCTGCACGGAGGTCAGAGGACAACTGCACTCTTCCCTCGGCTGTCTCCTTCCGTTGTGCGGCCTCAGGCTGCTGGGCAGAAGACTCCATATGGTTTTTAGGTACAGTCCCCATGGTTAGTATCTTCCCCACGCTTGTTGGCCTACGGCGTTCAATCACAGCAAACCCTATTTTCAAGGCATTTTAAAAGCAAACTTGATGTCTCTTAAAGCCCTCTTCTGTATCAACTCAAGGCAGCTGGCTGTCTTACAGCCTTCAGAGGTAAGCCTTCCTTCTGAAGCAACTAACTGCCAGCTGGGAAAGGGACCAGGTAGTGACAGATATGGTCCAGTAACCACAGGAAAAGGGCAAGCTCGCCCCCTGGTGGCAAGTAGACAGACAATAGAAGGGGAAAAATTCTTAAAAAGGTACGCACACACAAAGGCAAAAAAGACAAATGCACAGCCACCATGACGGACACAGCCCATCCCGCCAGGGTCTGGACAACGGTGCGTAAGGGGGTAGAAATCAGCTGAACCAGTTTCCTCATCTGGACCGCTTCACACGCTCGGCCGTGCCTGGCACAGGGGTTCCTGCCTGTAATTCCAACACAGGCCCCACAAGGACCATTAAAAAAGAAAAAATCAGAAAAAAAGAAAACGGGTCTGCTCAGTGGTCAACTCTGTGCCAAGGTGTCACAGATTCCTAGCTGGGGCTGCCTGAGAGTCAGCTGTCTTCCCCAGAGCAGCAGAGGCAGCCAAGAGGCTAATTTTCGCTGTGACCGCTGCCTGGAGGAGGCTCTGGCTTAACATAGCCACCTTCAATCTTGTATTGAAGGTCTGACTGGAAAGACAGGGAGCCCACACCGCGGTTAGGTCGGTTAGGTTACGTAAGGCAGAGGGCGTAAGGCAGAGGGTTGCAGTCGTGACTGCCTGGCTGTTTAAGTCCTCTGTTATGCAAATTAGGATACTTAAGATTTTCAAGCTTTTCCGACTAAAATGATAATGATGGTTGATTTTTTTTAGGCCTGTGGCTGCTAAATTTCCCAACTGCGCTTGTCTCCTCAACCCCCACCCCCCAAAATCGATGGCTCTAATTTACTATTTTACAGAGGTCCAGTTTTGAAATCAAGAACTCCCCACAAATGTGGGTGTCTTCAGAGTAACACAAAGGATTGTTTACTAAAAGTACACACTTCCAGCTCCCCCACCTCCGGCAGGTGCTGACCGACCTCCAAGGGCTCCTCATCTGGCCTCACAGAAGAGGTGCCAGCAAGCTGTCTGCAGCTTGGGAGAGTGGGCTGCCCATTACCCAAACGTTAAAGGCTGGACGTTTTTCTGCTGCTCTTTGTGCAGCTGCCTGGCCCTATTTTTCAGCACTTCGGCTTTGGCCTCGTCCTTGTCAACACCATCCCCCAGTTTGTACATGCGGCTGGCATTGGCGCAGGCCCAGACATGACCCAGGTCACAGGCCTTCATTGAATATTTACATGCCAGACCCATGTCCTTGGGAAGGCCGGGGGCGCCCTGCAGAAACATGGCGCTGAGGTTGAAGCAGCTGGCTGCAAAGCTGCCATCACAGGCCCTGGTGTAATAGTCCCTGGCCTTCTGCAGGTCAGGCTGGCCATCCTCATTGACCTGTCCGTCATGTGCCAGGAGACCAACATTGTGACAGGACTCCACAGATTTCTTTCCTGGTTTCTCACAGGCCATCAGAAAGCAGGCAGAAGCAGCCTTTAGGTCCTGAGTCAGGCCACCTGCAAAGACAGAAAACAAAGAAAAAGTAAATTTAAGGGCTGGGCAGACAGCTCAGTGGTAGAGCTTTGGTCTAACAATGTAGAGGGCCAGGGTTCAATTCCCAGCAATGGCCCCTGGAGCAAATTACCACCCCACCCCCAGCCAGGGCTGAACCTATTTGTGGCCAACAACCCCTAGGTCATGTCCTGTAGCTAAAGCCACATGGAGGAGGGTAGCCAGCCAGGCAGCCATGGGATCTTTGATTTGCATGCTATCTTCCAGGAAGCCAAGACAGGAAGACAAATGTTAACTCAGCAGAGACCACCTCACGGAGCTACAGTGAGAACATAGCATTTCAGAATAGGCCACGGAATGTTCCTCAATCTAAATATACAGTTGGCCCTACATATTTATGAGTTCTGCATATGCAGATTCCATTAGTTACAATGGAATCAAATCAGACTCAAACCAGACAGCAGCTGCAGATTTAGCCAACCATGGACTGAAAATATTCTGGAAAAAAGATGTCTGTGCTAAAAATGTATGGATTTTCCCATGTCAGTATTCCCAGAGCAGCACAGGATACAACGACTGTTTATATCAGTGTTTATACTGTATTAGCGAGCTCAACCAAGAAATGGTTTGAAGTGTATGGAAGGACGTCTGTGATCTGGAGCTCTTAAGGACTCTGACCCCACAAATCTCCAGGGACTACTCTCCCAGGACAGACTTTAAAAGTGTGTGGCGCTCGCCTTTGATCCCGGCACTTGGGAGGCTGAGGCAGGGGGATCTCAGTTCTGAGACAGCCAGAGCTACAAAATAGAGACCCTGTCTCAAACAAGACTCCTAAAAAACTAAAAAACAAAGAAATGACACACAAGCTGGGAACACCCCAGCACTGAGGAAGCAGAGGCAGGAGAGTCAAAAGTTTGAGATCACCTAAGCTACATGAGGTTGTTGGAAAAAGGGGTGTTACTTTTTTATTTATTCACAGTTCTGGGATTTTTATTTGTTCTTTCTGAAACAGTCTTATTACATGTAGCCCATGCTGGCCTTAAACTCTTGAGTGCTCGGATGAGACGCACAACTGTACCTGACAAGGACTGGAACTCAAGTCCTTCTCATTCATGAGAGTGATGAAGTGACTTCTAATAGAGAGAATGTAATAGAAATGAAAACATGACTTTCCAGTGCAGAGCGTAAGGGACACTCACTGCGGGGCTGGCGGGATGGCTCATTGGGTAAAGGTGCTTGCTAGGCCTGACCTCCTCAGTTCAATTCCTGGGACTGACATGGTGGAGAACTGACTCCTACAAATTGCCCTCTGACCTCCACATATGGGCTACGGTACACACATGCCCACAGACAAAACAGATACACATAAATAAATGCTCTTTTAAAGGGGCACTGGATTCTCCTTATCTTTTTATTTGAGGCAGGGTGTCTCTATTATACAGCTCTAGCTGTCCTAGAGCTCTCTATGTAGCCCAGGCTAGCCTCAAGAGATATACACGTGTCTCTGCTTTCCAAATACTGGGACCATCCAGCACTCCCCTCTCCTCTCCTTCCAGATTCCCCTCCCTCTGAACATGTTTTTTGTGTGCAGAATGCCTGCAGGCTTGTCTGCGTATCATGCGCATGCCTGGTGCCTGCAGAAGCCACCACTACTCAGCACTGTTTTTTACTTTTATATTTTATTTATTTTATGTGAGCGTTTTTATCTGCGTGTACGCGAGTGCACTACTGTGTGTGCCTGGTGCTGAGGTCAGAAGTCAAAGGTCCTGGAGCTACAGTTACAACATAAAACCAATTGTTTTAACAAACTGACCCCCCACCCCTGACATCACTCCACCCTCCCAAGCTTCTGGTGTGATGTAACTGTGAGCTAGATTTCAGGAACCCACCCTGCTTCAATTCAGGAGGAGAGTGCCTTCTGCTCTCTGTCCCTAGCAGATAAAGGACTCGTTTTTGGCCTTGTGATCTTTACTTTCTTGTATTCTTGGTCTGTGGTCTACCCAAGCAGGCATTTCAAAACGATACTGTACCGTCTATCTGTCCCTCACAACGGCCCTATGAAACAGGAACTGTTTCTCTCATTCTGCTTTTCTCTTTCTTTCGAATTCCGAGACAGGATCTCAATCTGCAACCCAAGCGCAGCAAGTTGAGACTCTACTTCTCCCAGTGTGCAGACTGGGACACGCCGAAGCTGGGATACTTGTTGGGCCTAATCGGTAATTTCTCACTCAGGAAGCAGAGCCAGGCGGCTCCCGAATGTTCCAGGCCAGCTTGGAGTACAAACTAAATTCTACGCCAGTGTCTTAGTCAGGGTCTCTGCTGCTGTGAAGAAGCATCATGACCAAAAGCAAGCTGGGGAGGAAAGGGTTTAACTTGCCTTAAACTTCCATGGAATAATCACTGAAGAAGTCAGGACAGGAACTCAAGTAGGGCAGGAACCCAGAGGCAGAAACCAATGCAGAGGCCACAGAGGGGTGCGGCTGACTGGCTTGCTCCCCATGGCTTGCTCAACCTGCTTTCTTAGAGAACCAAGGACCACTAGCCCAGGGGTGGCAGCACCCACAATGGACTGGGCCCTCCACATCAATCACTAATTAAGAAAATGACCTACAGGGCTGCCTACAGCCTCATCTTATAGAGGCATTTTTCTCAGTTGCTCCTTTCAGATGACTCCAGACACCACAGCCAACAAAGCTACAGTAAAACCCAGTTCTAAAAAAAAAAAAAAGTTTTGAGCTGGACCCGGTGCTGGTGGCACACAAATCCAGTGCTCAGAATGTAGAGGCAGGTAGAGCTCTGTGAATTTGAGGCCAGCCTTACACAATGAGTTCCAGGATGGGCAGAGCTCTGTAAAGAAACCCTGTCTTTAAAAAGAAAATCACGAACAAAATCGGCTTTCTGGCCCCCCCCCCGCCTTTTTTTTGTTGGTTTCACTTAATTTGTTTGTTTGAAACATGGTCTCTGTGGCTTAGGCTAACCTCAGCCTCCTAATTACTACAATTACAAGCAGGAGACCCTACCCAGCTTAGTTGGAGAACTTTTTAACAACACAGAAGAATACCCTACAACTTTGATATTTTAATTTTATTTATATTTGTGTTTTGCCTACATTTACCTGTGCGCGGGTGTCAGGTCTCCTGGAACTGGAGTTACAGTTGTGAACTGCCATTTGGGTGCTGGTATTTGAACCTGGGTCCTCTGGAAGAGTAGCCAGTGCTGTTAACCACTGAGCCACCGTCCCCTACAGTGGCTTTCTGCTGCCAAGGGTGAGGACCGTGTTCAATCCCCAGAACCTACACAATGGAATAAGAGCAGCAACTCCGCAAGCTGTTCTCTGATCTCTACGTTCGGGCCATGGCACATGCCTGCCCTACACCAAAACAAATGAGTAAGTAATGGAATTTTTGTTTTTGAGACACAGTTTCTCTGTGTATCGTACCCAGGGCTGTCCTAGACTCACTCTGTAGACCAGGCTGGCCTTGAACTCACAGAGCTCCACCTACCTTTGCCTCTCAAGTGCTGGGATCAAAGGCGTGCGCCACCACTGCCTGACAGTAATGTAATTTTGTAAAAAAAAAAAATTGAGAAAAAGAAAAGAAAAGTTAACTAGCTAGTAACCCCAAAGGCTGCTTCAGCTAAAGGGCCGTGCTCTTCCACTCCCTCTCTGCTGAACCCGCCTGCACTCGGCGCACAGCACTGTCCCCCACGCCTGTGAAGGCCTGCTGCTCCTCACCTTTTCCAGTCACGTAATAGGCCCCCAGCTTGTAGCAGCTGTCACTGTGCCCGTTTTCCTCACAGTTGAACTTCAGCACCTTGGCAGCTTCATCAAAGTTCTTCTGGATTCCTTCCAGATAGTCCACCAGCCGATAGCAGCCTAGAGGAGGGGACAGTTACTCACGCTGCCCTCGGCTGTTCAGGGGCGCAGGCGCAGTCGGATCCAGTCTAGCTCCTCAATTATGGCAAGCAGACTTCACACAGAAGTGCATGGTGTCCAGTCCCCCCCAACAAGGGGCCATGTCTCCCCCTGGCCAACAATGGATGGACCAGGAGGACTGACCCCAGAGCGGCTCTACCACTGCCAGTCCTGACACCCGTCAGCCTGGCCCAAAAACTAGCTGACTTTCAACGACTGACACTTTGCTAGCTTTGCAGTCTACAAGAACAACACTGAGACCAAAGAGGGTCAGTGGGCTCCTCCTGGAGCAAAAACCCAGAAATGAGACATTACTCCCCGGTCTGGCTGGAAACCTGGGCCCAGAAAGCAGGAACAGAAGCTACCAAAGCAGGGGAAATAGGTTTCCCCTCCCGGGGTGTCCCGGTTCTAGCCAGCCCCTTTGAGCGTTCCCGGCAACATCAAAGACCAGTCCTCATTCATTCTCAGCCAACAAATATTTGAACACACACGTATATACTACCCCATGTATGAAGTATGTACCAGATACACAGCTGGGAACACTGTCATTGCTCTCTTAATATTTATACCCTTTGGTATAAATATTGGTTGGTTGGTTTTTGGAGACGGGTTTCTCAGGGTTTCTATAAACTATAAACCACAGAAGTGTGTTTTTAAGAGGAAAAATGGCTGGCACTGTGTGCAGCTCAGGGCACACTACTCGCCTACAGTGCGGGAGGCCCTGGGTTCAATCCCCATCCCACAGTGAAAAACATCACAAGTAAGCTACCAACTGAGACATCTCTGAAGAAGGGCGGTGCTAAGACTCACTTTTTAAAAAGCACTGCACACGCGCATCTGTCTGCAGCTGCCCGGCTGAGCCATCACTCCAGCCTCCCTTTCCACCACTTCTTCTATTCAACCCAGGCTGGTCCGTAACTGCCAAGCTCAAAGTGATCCTCCCGCCTCGGCCTCCCGAGCGCTGGAACTTCAGGTGCACGACCGCGAATACGGCTCGCATTTACTACCATCACGTATTTCACTTCTTTCCTTCCTGTAGGTGCTAACCGACTCCCTCCAAAGACGCTGTGCGCACGCCGAGGGTCAGTTTCACTGCAGCCTCTCCAGTCCTACCCTGGACTACAGTGGGTCCCGCCCGAGAGCTCCGCCCCCTCCGCCGCAGCCCCGCCCACAGCCCGGCGCAGCCCCGCCCACAGCCCTGCGGGGTCCCCGGCTGCGTCCTCCGGCGTCCCCTCGCCCACCACGTGACCGCGCCTGCCCCCCACGCTCGCGCCCCTCCCCGGCTCACCGTCCGGGTCCTTCTCGCGGTAGCACTGGTAGTGGCACTCCACCTCCATGTTCTCCAGGAAGGACTTCACCTGCTCCTCGTCCTGGAAGTCAACCAAGCCCGCCATGGCGCCGGCTCCCACGGAGCGCGCTGGCTCCGCCCCCGACCATGTGAGCCGGCTCGGGGGGCGGGGCGTGCCGGCGGCCTGCGTGACCTCGGCGCTCCGCCGTCCTGGCCCCTTCCCGGCAGCCTCTGCGCTGGCGTTGTCCTTCGCCGGCCTTTCGGCTTCCTCCGTGGACTCTCCCGCCCGGGTGTTCGCCTCCTTGTCGGAGGGAATTCTGCCCCTTAGTGGTTTTCTCCCTGCAGCGGGGATCAGCCAACCGTTCTTCAGTCCCGAATCTATAAGCCGCGGCGGCAGGGAGTCCCGGGCCTTGCCTTTGCAGAGCTTGCAGCGTTGGGCTGGAGCTCACCGCCTAGTGCCCCGCAGCACCATAAAAAAAAAAAAAAAAAAAAAAAATAGAGCTTGAAGTTCATCATCGGGAAAGCATTTTGAGTACCTTGTGTGTCCCGCATGGCTGGAACACAGAAGCGGTGGGGATGCTACCGATGGTGGTGATAGGGAGTGTTAGGAGAAGGCAGCGGACAGCACCTTGGCAGATTGAAAAGCCAAGGACCGCCGCCACAGAGTCACACAATGCAACAGATCTGACAGAAGAGGCTTATTGGGGGAGTGGGAGAGCGAAAGGCCGCCAGGGAGTGGGGTCACGATTTTAAAAGCAATTCCATGACATCTTTCACAGGATAGCACAGATTTGCTGTACTCCAAAGCCTCTGAGAAAAACTGACATTTCAAGGTAGTATGCCGCTCTTACATATGGATTCTTCTGTTGTTCTTTCTTGACATAGAGTCTCACTGTGTGGCTCAGGTCTACCCTTAATTTGAGACAATGACACTCCTATCTCAGCCTACTGAGTACTATTACAGATGAAAGCCACCACATCCAGTACCCATGTTTTTTTTTTCTCTTGTTTATATCCCTGGTTACTAGGGGAGCCTTTAGAACACATACCCCAAGATGGGAAGGGTGGACCTTTAGTTTTGAGCCTCCCTCTTTCTAGCCTGACCTCCAAGGCCCTTGGAATTTCATCCTATCCTCGCAGTCAAGTTTGACAGGTACAACTGCTGCACCAATCCAAAATCTGCCTAGAAGCTTCTTTCTCAGTGTTTCACATTGCTTGCTGTGTTTTCTCTTATGAATGGACTAGCTTTGGAGGGGAGACAGATCTTAGCTGAGAGTCACCATCTCACCCTGATGGAGCTTGCCATGCCTGGAGTGCCATGAAATCCTGTGTCCCACCAGAATGATTTCTACGATGGTGAGAGGGTCAAGAACAGAGGGATGGGTTGTGGCCCCTCTCAGTGGTAGAACGTTTGCCTGGCATGTGCAAGCCCCTGGGCTGGATGCCCCAAACCCTGAGAAAATGCAGTAAGACTAGAGCGGGCTTCGGTGATGACACTACAAAGTCAAGCACTGCTTTTCCCTTACTTATGTCTACGAAGTTAAACTGGCATGGAATGAGACCACCTGAGCAGTAGAGGGCAGTAGAGGGTTAAAAAAAGGAGTCCCCAGGACAATTACTCGCTTTTTCCTTTTTCTGTTGTTTTGTTTTTGAGACGGGGTTTCACTGTGTAGCCCTGGCTGACCTAGAACTCACTGACTGTGTAGACCAAGCTGGCCTGGAATGCACGGAGATCCTCCTGCTTCTACCTCCCCGGTGCTGGGGTCAAAAGCATGAACCACTACACCTGGCTACAAATTAAAAAAAATAAAATAAATGTAAGATTAAAAAAAAAAAAATCTGTTGCTTTGTTTTTAAAGTCCTTTCTTTATCCCCATAGTCTTTCCACCCCCTCTGTTCTCTAGCGCTGAGATGAAACCCAGAGCCTCACATGAGCTCCCCACTGGGTTACATCTCCCACGGGTACACCCAGGTCCTCTCCATCCTTACAAGTGAGTGTACAGGCCTCGCTGCTCAGTGAGTACACTGATCTGTGTTTATCTTAAGTTGAGCTCTTGGCTTTTACCCTTTTCTTGGAAGCAGGAATGCTTCACACCGTTGCAAATAAACTTGAGATCACAGAAGTGAAGTGATTTTTCTGTAACATGCTGTGAAGGAGCTTTTCTAATCTTGTAGTTCACAACTGGCACGGAGCTGCTGGAGGGAAGAGCGCAAGAGCATCCTTGCAAAGCAGTTTCTAACTGGACTTAGCTTCCACTGATGCTCACAGGTCACTAGCCACTGGGGAAGTGCTTTGCAGTTTCATCTAGTCTTCACAGTATTCTCTTCCCTCATTCAGTAACATTCCTGGTGCTTTAATAATCAGTAGGGCTTAAACCTTGCAATATTAAAACCCAGGTTTCAATAAAGCATGCAATTTTCAGAACAGGAAAAGCATCAGTTAATACATATGATAACCTCTTACTCTTAGCGATAAAAGAAAGCCAATTGCCGGGTGCTGTCATCCCAGAACTCAGGGAGGCAGAAGCAGGCGGATCTCTGTGAGTTCAAGGCCAGCCTGGTCTACAAATTGAGTTCAGGACAGCCAAGGAGAAACCCTGTCTTGAAAAACCAACAACAGCAGCAGCAGTGTGGGCCTGCCGGATCGCTCAGTGAGTAGCGCCACTTGGCCACTTGCGGCACAAGCCTGCTGACCTGAGTTTAATCCTCAGAACCCAAATGAGAGTGGAAGCAAAGCACGGTCTCCGTGCTGGGCAGTGGTGGTGAATGCTTTTAACTCTGGCACTCAGGAGGTAGAGGCAGGTGTTGCAGGATATTTGGTCCCATTGTGAACCTTAAAACTGTTTCTTGTTTGGTGTGGCTGGGCCCTGTCACACTCGTTTAATCCAAGAACTTCCTGTTTATTTTAAACAGGTGATTATGGTGTGGTTCAACCAGACCTAGCACACACCTGTAATTCAAGAGCTTTCTTGTACACAGGATTTAATAAAATTAACTCTAGGTCAAGAGGCAGAACAAGAAACCAGCTGACAGGGATTAAGTAGGAGGGACAGGCTGGAGATGTGACTCAGAGGCTAAGAGCACTGGGTCCTGAGTTCAATTCCCAGCAACCACATGGTAGCTCACAAACATCCATACTGAGATCTGGGGTCACCTTCTGGTATGCATGTGAACAAACTGTAATACATAATAAATAAATCTTAAAAAAAAAGTAGGAGGAGCTATCTGTTGAGGGGTATTAAAGACAGCTTGTGGAAGTTCAAGGTGCTTTAGCTCTTGAGCCCTTTGGCTTTAGCTTTGGCTCTTCTGCCTTTAAAGCTTTAGCTCTCTAAAGAGCTCTTTAGAGAGCTAAAGCTTTTGGTTTCTGGCTTTTGGTTTCTGGCTTTTGGGGCTTTGGGGGCTTTGAGCCAGCAAGCTTTTGGCCTTGGGTTTTTTGGCCTTTCCTACTAGGCCATCAGTTGAGTTAGCAAGCTTTTAGCTTTAGGCTTTTGGCCTTTTCCTTCTGGGATGAGAGCTTGTAATGCCAGGTTCACGGGACCCTCAGAGACCACCAGGAGGCAACTCAATGCAATAGCAAGAGAGCTTTATTACGAGAGCGATTGAACTTGGGACCTGAGTCTCACTGATGCAGCAGTAGAGAAGTGGGACCCTGAGCCCTGAATGAACAGGATTTTTAAAGGGAAAGTCTGTGAGCAGGGGGTTTCCATGGCAGCAAGCAGGGGGGCACAAGCCTTGGCGTTAAAGAATTGAGTGAAGTTTATCAGAGCGGGGTGACCTTTTCTGAGGCACACAATCGCGATGGCTAAGGCATATAATCACAATGGCTATTTTTCTAAACCATATCTGAAACATTGGGGAGAATTTTCCCACCTCATTCCCAACTGATTCTCATTGATTATTGCCAGGGAGTTTGTCTCTATTTTCTATGAAGCATTTATTCTGTATTATTTCCTGGAGGCTGTTGCTAGGAGAGTTAACTTTGTTCTCTGCCAGGTGTACATTCTGTGATATTTCCTGGTGCCTGAATTCAGTTCCCAGTCAGGATCTTTATTTTAAAATGGAGTTATACTCAGGCTAACTTAAACTCTTTAAGCTGAGTAGGAAAGGTGATAAATCAGAGAAAGATTTGACAGACTGGGATAGAGCCAGCTCTCATGAGAAGAGAGAGGAAAGGGAAGCTACTTAAGGGGCAATGCAGAGAGAGAGAGAGAGAAGAGGCCATTTTACCAGAAGAGTTTTACAGAGAGAGGTTGAATGAGTGAACAAGCTAGACACAATGAAGACCAAATGAGCCAGAGAATGAGAAGGAGCCAGATTAGAAAAGATTGCTGGAGTTAGTTTGAGGCCAAGCAGAGCAATTCAGAGAGAGAAGCCAGATTGAATAAGTCATCTGGGAGAGGAGTTTGAGCAGAACAGTTAGTTGAGTTGAACAAGGCAGCCCAGAGCTCACTAGGAACACGAAAGGGTAAGCTTATTCAGCAGTTAAGTCTCAGAGGCTGAAAATATTTTAGACCTAGGTTAGATTATATAGAGGCTAAAAGCTTCCAGAACCAGGCCTAGGTTAGCAGAGAGAGGCAGTGAGCTTCCATGACAACAATTGAAACAGGCGAATAAATGTTCCTCTTACAGGCAGGCAGATATCTGAAGCCAGCTTGGTCTACAGAGAGAGGTTCAGGACAGCCAGGGCTACGCAGAGAAACCCCGTCTCAAAACCACAACAACAACAGAACCAAGCAAACAAACAAAAGAACAGAACCAGCTTCACAAGAATTTTCCTCTGGCTTCCATATGTTGACTAGGAAACACAGCTGCCCACAAACGCTATACCTACA